CTTCTCTCACTGTGCCACTCCTGCTGAACCGTGGTGGAGGAAAGGGATGAGTGCTTCCCTTTGGCTGCTGCCACCCCCTCTGCCAGCCCCCCCTGCACCTGGGGTGGGGACACCACTATTGTTATGGAACAGTTACTGTTAGCAAACAGTATAACAACATGTTTGAAATTTTCATAATGGCTTTCAATGACCAATCACACAAAAAGCTGGCAGTCAGAGCGCGTGTCACATGGCACAATTATAGCATTAAGGTTCTGTTCTACCTACCATGGCACCATCCTATGGAATCATAGGAACGGTAATTTGCTCTGGCTGAGAATTCTAGGTACCCCTCCCTAGAGGTTCAATCCCAAGATTGCATAGGATGGAACTGTGGATGGTAAAGTGGAATAACAGTGCTGTCTGGGTGGTGTGAAAGGGCTCCTGGACTCTGCTTTAGAATATTTTAATTTGGCCCATCCCATCCTAAAAAAGGGATATTGTAGTGCTGGAGAAGGTAACAGATTCAGTAAGACAGAGCTTTTTAGCATCAAAATGTGCAGGGATAGAATGGGAAGATGTTTGAGATTTTTAAAATTATGAAGAGAGTGATTAAAAGGAAACTATTCTTTAGTAATAAATTTGAAGTGCTTCCCAACTGGTCCTGCTAACAAATAACCCAGTATGGCTCAAAAGGCATTGTGTCACTATTATGTTGTTCTTTCTTATATTTTATGGGAAGCCAGAAAACCAGTACAAAATATTTCAGATTCTAAAATTATTCAGGCGGCAGTCATTTTGAGGAGTATTTTAGATCCAAATTATCTTAGGGCCTTTACAGACTGCCAGAAATAATGCAGTTTGAGACCTCTTTAACTGCCCTGGCCCAGTGCTAGGGAATCATGGGAATTGTATTTTTTCTGAGACACCAAGCTTTCTTTGACAAGGAGCTCTGCTGCCACAATAAACTACAGTTCCCATGATTCCCTAGCACTGAGCCGGGTCAGTTAAAGTGGTCTCAAGCTGCATTATTTCTGGCACTGTAAAGGCCCTTAGTGAACATTCCCTAACTTTGCCAAAGATTAGAAGAGCTCTGAATTGGTCAGATTCCTCAGGTACTGGAAATCCAGGTGTTGATCTTGTAGATCAAAGAACCAAAGCACTTTGAAACAGAGCTCTTGTCTTTTACAAGTTAAAGAATTCATTGTGTGGATGGAGAAAGCAGTTTGATGTGCATTTTGAGCCCATCGCCCACATGAGATCATTGGATTGGATCTTTAATGCTGCCCTGTGACCCTATTGTTCTCAGCTGTATGTCAAACCCAGTACATTATTATTATATGTCTCACTGCCTTGATCTGGGACAGAAACACTGATGCTCCTATGTGTCAGTCGATGCAAGGCAAGGAGCCTTTCTCTGAAGAATAATTTAGAGATACTAATGGGAAAGGTATCAGCTGCTCTTGGAAACACTGATAAAATTCATAATTAAAACAGCATTCCCTAGGGCACCTGTCTTTTTTTAATCTTTTGTGAGTATGGATTTTATTTCCTCTTCTTTTGTTTGAGCATATACAGGGAGACCTTGTTTTTGTTTTGCATCTGAATCTGGCAAGGAATATTTTCTTTTTTCTAGTTGCCCATTATATGAAAAATGGCAGTTTATTTTTTGTATTGTTTAGGATTTTTCTAGGTTTAACTAAAGGTATTCTAATGCAGTGGAGAGATTCTGCCCTCCTCTTTTTAATGAACAGAATCTGCTCACAGCAGAATTTAGATTTTAATCATGGAAATTGTCTTGAAATGTTTCTAAAGAGAGACTTGATCTAAAATTCTACCAAAATGTTTATCATATATTTGAACAAATGGCAAGCTTACAGCATTGTGTTATTCAGATCACTTCAAGAGTTATATTTATTGCTTTCCCCCCTGTCTCCATCCATTTCTTAGAAATCATGCCTCATCAACTTTCCTTAGTTCAGTCCCCTCCATGGCAAAGCTGGCTGGGATAGAAATTATAGTTTGAATGGAAGTTGTAGTCTGACACATCCAGAGAGCTGTAGTGTGGGGAAAAGCTGCTATATGTTTCTCAGTCATTTACTATTCGTCTGAATAATTTGCTTAACTCCACTGGCTTCCAGCCTGATTCCAGGACCAGTTCAAAGTTGGTATTATGACTTTTAAAACTCAGAATAGCTGGCACCAGAGTATCTCAAGGATAACACTTCCCATGCATAATCTGCATAGACCCTTAGGTCCTCTTCATAAATCCTGCCTGGTTATCTTTTCTGTGCCAGGCAAAGACATTTCTTTTCTTTCAGACATTTTAGATTTTTCCATTTTATGCTGCTTTTATATATTTACCTGTACTGTTTGCTTTCTACTGTGTTGCTCTGTGCTGCGCTATATTCTTTTAGCCTTTTGTAATCTGCCCAGAGAAATTTGGTTATTGGGCAAATCAGTTAAAAAAAAATTTAGGTCCAAAACACACTGCAGAAATAATCCCATTTCAAACTGCCCTGGCTCAATGCTAGAGAAATTTGAAAACTGTAGTTTTGTGAAACATTTAGCTTTCTCTGTCAGAGAGCTCTGGTGCTGCAATAAACTACAATTTCCAGGATTCCCTATCACTGACCAAGGCAGTGGTCTTAAACTGGATTATTTCTGCAGTGTGTTTTGGACCTTAGTTATCATTAAATGTACAAGACTGGTCTCATGTAAGTTCCAGGTTTTGAATGGCTTTAGTGACATCAGGGTTGGAAATTAAAGCACTGGCACTGTAGCACGTAATCTGAATAGTCATGGGAAATAAGCAGATAGATAGCTATCAACGTGTGCTCTGCTTATGCTATACAGTATTTCTTTCCTCTTTTCTCTGAAGGTCATTTCCTGTTTCTTAAGCTAGAGAGAGGCAAAGATCGTATGGAGTCAGTCTCTATCACTTTTATGCCTCACATAAAAGTGAGCCTTAGACCATCTGTAACTAAATTTAGGAAGTCTCCAGTATTTCTGAGTGGATTTTTTTAGGAAAAAAATAAAAGTAAGTTTTTCTTTTTACCTTACCTTTTAAAAACCTTTTTACCTTACTTTTAGCATTCAGAGCAGTTACCCCTGCTGTAACCTAAACAGACTGCTGTAATCTGCTGCTCTCTGCTAGTATAAACACTAAACATATTTACAATCTAGACATAGAAGCTTTTAGTTTATAAACTCTGAGGTCAATGGAGTGAGCTGGAGAAGCCAGAACCACATGTGTAACTGGTGGAAAGTACAGAAGAAGAATGAGGTCAGGCCCCTAGGGCAGAGCTTGGAAAGTTATTTTTTAAAGTAATTACAGTTACTTTTACTTACTTTAAAAACATCAAAATACTTTAAGGTGCTGGCCTATGCTAAAATATTATCTCTCTTGTCTATTTTGC